ATCTGAGGCAGAAGAATCATAAGTTCAAGCCCAGTAACTTAGTGAGACCCTGTCTCAAGCTGAAGTTTAAAAGGACTGGGGATGTAGCTAATTAATTTAGAATCCCTGGGTTCAATTCCAACAACTAGGGGAAAAAATGACTAGGATTGTTGTTAATGATAGTTTGGGCTTAACCCTGGGTTCAATTTTTTTTTTTTTAAATAAAATAAAATTTAGCTTAGCTGCCTGGGAAAGGCAGCCGGAAAATCACAGAGTCCCATGAATGGCTTCTGCCCTAGTAAGAACTGCTCCCTTCTCCCTTAACCCACTTCTTGTTCCTTCTCTCCAAGGTTCAGACATCAGAATTTGTGCCATTATGGTTCCAGCTCCAAGTTACTGGCCCTGAACACTACCAAGTCCCCAGAAGGTCCCATGAATCTTCAGCCACTCTCTATTCTGCCTGTGAACTCTGTCCTGTGGATAGGCCACCCAAACCCTAGCTGCCCTCTCAGCTGCTTTCCTAGGGTTGCTGAATCCCTCTCTCCCCATCCTAAGCCACCATGGGGCCCTAGGACTGCCCAGTGCCTAGCCCTGACTGCAGGCTCTGGTGCTTCAGCAGCCCCAGACCAGGCCTCCAACCTGACCAGCTGTGATGAACTCTCACCATAGACCATGCCAAAGATCAAGTTCCAGTCTCCTAAAGCCCTTCCTGGCCAGAGAAATCTGAGGTTCCCTCCCAAGAGCCCAGTGTCGGCTATCCTCCCCACCCTGCTCAGCTTCTCTTTAGACAGAGACAAACCTGAGGATTCTGGAGGAATGATTACTCATCAGTAGAGAAGGCCCATGTGGCACTCAGGCTGCAGAGACTGTTTTGTGGTGACCAGGGATGGGGACTGTGGGCAAAGCTGGGGGAGAGGATGGGGATGTGGAGTATAAAAGGGTGTTTCTAATGGAAGAAGAGGCAGGGTTGGGGCCATGTGAAGCTGGAGCTGGGAGCAGGACAGCAAGCAGAGAGAAGGTGGGTGGGGTTCTTCCTTGCAGTGCTTTGTGCCTGAGCATCAGGAATGATCCAGAGGTGGATTCTACATGCAGCTTCTGTTTGACAAGTTTCCCCAGACAGTGACAAGTCTCCCTGAGCTTTAGTCTCCTCACCTACAAAATGGCACCCTAGCAACTTCCTTAAGACCTGTCAGACACCCCAGGAGATGGTGTGTGATTACAGAATGTCCAGCTTGTGCCTGGCATGGTAAGTGCATACAAATCAGCATTATACCCTACCTTTTCTGTTGGAGATAACTAATTGTCTTAAATTAACTCAGATTGTTCTATTAAAAGTAGTACTTCGTAAAATATTAACAAGTAACTCATAAATTTTTATAAGAAAAACACAATATAAAGTTAATACAAGCAACACATATTTAGCTTGTATAATAACTTTGAACCAAGAAACATACTCTCTATAATAGTACTAATGTATACTTGATATCTACTTAGCCTCTGTAAATACCCATTAATTTATAAACTCAATTACACTTGAAATCCTTCAAAGTTTTTCTTTTAAAACTCTCTTAAACCTTAAACATATTTTATAATTTACCAGAACCATTATGTAATTTTGTATAATATCCCTTGTTTATTTTAAGATCACAGTAATCTTAACAGCAAAAATCTATCTTTTGACAACAACTATAAATAAGCTTAATTCTGGCCTACCTTAGGGCCATCTTAACATGGAGTAAAGCGAGTGGCGGAGTCTGAACTCAGTTGAGGTAATGGAAATAGACTATATATAAAATGCTATATATAAATGTATCTCATTTACATAACAATGGAACATTTATGTAGTTAAACCAAACAGATGCAAACCAGGTTTTTAAATGGTAATATAGTCCTTTTCCGTCAGACACAATGTGTAAAAGAGAGCTCTTATTGGTTACCTTGCCCATAAACCTACATAAACTTTAGTTTATAAACTTTTTCAAGGCTCAGACAAACATATTTAGTTCTTAGATGTATACATATCTCTATCACATATATTTAGGGTGTGAACTATTTTGCAATAACTTGGAATGATAAGGGGACCTGTCCTCCTAGATAATAGCCTCATTACTCTGATAGGCAGTTTCATTTGGGAAACCCAAGCATCAAGGGTCAGCTCCCCAGGCCATGGATGGATTGGTCATTCCTGAGGCCACGGTGGGTGGCATCCTCCCACTCCTTCTAGGGGTCATCCCTCCAGGTCATGGAGGAGTCCTTCCACACCCTTGAGGAGTCGTCCCCTGACATGGGAAGGGTCACCCCCCCATGTTCCCACCGCCCACACAGGGCATTTGCAGGATTCCACCTAGGGGGATCCTGAAGAGCAAACCTGTTTCGACTCCGCCCAGCAGGGGGAGCCGACGGTGACGCCCTCGGAGCACGAAGCACAGGCGCGTGGAGCCGTAGCCATGGAGACGCGAGGGCGGAGCGTCTGCAGGACCGGGTGGCCTCAGCAGCTACTCCCAGGACCGGACATCTAAGGCAGGCGGAGGCCAGAGCAGCCTCCCTGCAGAGTGGCAGGTAGTGGACTGGAGAACCCTGACCTGGGGGAGGGAGCTGCTCCAAATGAAGCAAGATTTAAAGGTAGGTAGTTAGTGTAGTTAGCTAAATTGGGTCTAATATCCAGTAAAATCGAAAAAACGAAGGCCATTTTGAGAATGGAGCCAGGGAAAGCAGAGCAGCACTTGGGAGATTGAAATGTTAATGTCTCCAAGTCCCTAAGCCCATTCTAAAGAAATGTTAATGAAGCAGTTCCCAGCAAACTGGGAGATGCTAATCAGAAGTGGCCCCAGGCCATGCCTGACCAGACTACTTCTCTGGCCCATCTGCCCCTCACCTTTTGGGTCTCCCCACCTTCATTCTATCACTGCAAGATAACAGAACAAAGGACAAGAAGGCTGACAGCAATGCGGGAAAGCTAAAAGAAGACTTTAGCTATAAAAGAGGGAAGACCTCCCCCCTTCCATGGATTCCACCTCTTGGGTCCTTCTTTCTCCGGGAAGAAGTCTTTTCTGCTGTCCTTAATAAAGCTTCTACTTTCCACTCTAAACTTGCCTCAGCTGCTTCTCTGGTGTTATACTTCAGCATTTGGGGAAGCAAGGACTTCTCACCGGTAAACGGCAAAGGGCGGTAACACAAAGACAGGACCTGCGGGGGCTTTCCCTTTTAATAGCAGCCACGCACCTATTTCATGTTTCTCTCTCTTAAAAATAAAATATCCTGGGGCTGGGATTGTGGCTCAGCGGTAGAGCTCTCGCCTAGCACAGGGGGACCTGGGTTCAGGCGGGACCCGGTTTGATCCTCAGCACCACATATAAAATAAAATAAAGGCATTGTGTTGTGTCCATCTACACCTAAAAAATAAATATTAAAAAATAAAATAAAATAACCTGATATAGGCGCCCTTTCATGTTTCCTTCCTGCTCCGGGTTAGCTCTGCTGAGGGATTCTGCAAATTATCCAGCCTAAGGCGAAGCAGTCTAACTAATGAAGGTTTCTATAGTGGTGCAGAAGAAAGAGCCTGACCTAGGGTGGAAATCAAGGGCTCTCCCACGGACTCCATTCCTACACTGTGAACCGAGGGTTGAACCAGGTCATTGTTGTGACCCAGACAGTGTTTCCTACGCAGGGATTCCAGATGCTGGTGGTGCATTGCTGAGTTGTATTGTTTGTAGCTAAGTTTCAGGCACCTGAGTTTCTTTGTTTCAGCTTCATGGCATCCATGAGATAGTACAACTGCTCTTCTTGTTTTACAGATAAGAAAACTGAGACCCCAGGAATTAAGTAAGTTTCAAAAGTGGTGAAGTCCAACTTTGCAGTTAAAGCCTAAATGTTTTTAGATGCACCCTGTTGTTGTAATTATGCTTAAATTTTCATATGACTAGAGGCATTTTTTTTTCAGCTTGGAATAGAGTGAATTTTGAGGCTCTAAGGAATATATATGATACATGGGCACAATATCTTTATTTTGTTTATGTGGTGCTGAGGATAGAACTCTCACATGTGGGAGGCAAGCACTCTGCCATTGAGCCCCAACCTCAGCCCAAGGCTCTAAGGAATTTTAAAGATCATTACTTAGACTCTTAATTGTACTGTTAAAGAAATAAAAACCTAGAAAGTCAGTCTGTAACAACAGCACACATAACAGGTTATGTGCTGCCATTTCACCTAATAACTAAGAATTATAGAGTAGAAGATGCATTTGCTCATTTGAAAATATGGAGCAAAATTTAGTGTTTTGTTGGCTTGAAGATTTGTTCATATAAGTTATTTTTAATTTTGGGGGTAGTGGTGCCTTTTTTTATTAGTGCATTACATTGATACATAATACTGGGGTCCATTTTGACCTACTTATACAGTGTGTTAAGCAATACAAGCTTGGGATATAATCTGCTCCAATTCAGTCCCAAAACTAATGCTTTTCCTTCCGTCCACTTTCTACCCCCTTTCCCTTTCCTCTATTGTTCGGTTTATTTCTGTTTACTTATAATTGTTCATATTAGTGCTGCATAGGTAGCACTAATTTAAAGGTAAACTTAACTGTGTTATTTTCACATATATACACAGGGTAGCTTGGTCATTTTCAGTTCACCATTTTTCCCATTTCTCATCCCATTTCCCTTGCCCTGAGTCCTCTCCCTCTACTCACCTGATTTCTCCTCTATTCTCCAGAGGATCCTCCCCACTTTCCCCTCTTATTTTGGTCTAGTGACCACATATTAGAGAAAACACTGAACTCTTGACTTTCAGAGTCTGACTTATATCACTTAGCATGATGTTCTCCAGTTTTATCGCTTTGCCTGCAAATGCCATGATTTCATTCTTTAAAAAATATTTTTTTAGTTGTTGATGGACTTTTACTTCATTTATTTATATGTGGTGTTGAGAATCAAACCCAGGGCCTCACACATGCTAGCAAGGCAAATGCTCTACACTGAGCTACAGCACCAGCCCCCAAATTTTGTTCCTTTTTTTAAAATTAGCTTTTGTTAATGTATTTATTAAAAAAAAAATTTTATAGATCTTTATTTCTCTACTCTTTGATAAGCAATATACAGTACTTTAGTATTATTCTTTCAGTGGACATTCTTATTTTATAATATCTTGGTCCTTAGGTATAAATTAGTCTTTTTTAAAAATTGATTTTATTTTTTTAAATACACGACAGCGGAATACATTACAATTCTTTTTATACAAATAGAGCACAATTGTTCATATCTTTGTATACAGAGTATGTTCACGCCAATTCATGTCTTTACACATGTACTTTTTTTTGCATTACAATTCTTATTACACATATATATCACATTTTCTCATATCTCTGTTTGTATATAAAGTGTGTTGACACCAATTTGTGTCTTCCTACATTTACTTTGGATAATGATGTCTGTCACATTCTACTACCCTTGCTATTCCCCTGTCCCCTTCTTTTCCCTCCCACCCATCTGCCCTGTCTAGAATTCATCTATTTCTCTCATGGCCCCCCTCCCTACCCCACTATGAGTCAGCCTCCTTATATCAGAGAAAACATTCGGCATTTGTTTTTTTGTGATTGGCTAACTGCACTTAGCATTAACTTCTCCAGTGCCATCCATTTACCTGCAAATGCCATGATTTTATTCTCTTTTATTGCTGAGCAAAATTCCATTATGTATATATATTACATTGTTTTTAATCCACTCCTCTACTGAAGGGCATTTAGGTTGGTTCCACAGTTTAGCTATTGTGAATTGTGCTGCTATAAACATTGATGTGGCTGTGTCCCTGTAGCATGCTGTTTTTAAGTCCTTTGGGTACAGACCCAGGAGAGGGATAGCTATGTCAAATGGTAGTTTCATTCCAAGTTTTCCAACGAATCTCCATACTGCTTTCCATATTGGCTGCACCAATTTGCAGTCCCACCAGCAGTGTATGAGTATACCTTTACTCCACATCCTCCCCAACACTTATTGTTGTTTGTCTTCATAATAGCTGGAGTGAGATGGTATCTTAGAATAGTTTTGATTTGCATTTCTCTAATTGCTAGAGATTATGAACATTTTTTCATATATTTGTTGATTGATTGAATATCCTTTTCTGGGAAATGTCTGTTCAGGTCCTTAGCCCATTTATTGATTGGGTTATTTGTTTTTGGTGTTTATCTTTTTGAGATCTTTATATACCCTAGAGACTAGTGCTCTATGTGATGTGTAAGGGGTAAAGATTTGCTTCCAAAATGTAGGCTATCTATTCACCTCACAGATTGTTTCTTTTGCTGACAAGAAACTATTTAGTTTGATTCCATCCCATTTATTGATTCTGGTTTTAATTCTTGCACCACAGGAGTCTTATTAAGGAAGTTGGCCTAATCCCACATGATAGAGATTAGGGCCTACTTTTTCTTCTATTAGTCATAGAGTCTCTGGTTGTATTCCTAAGTCCTTGATCCATTTTGAGTTGAGTTTTGTGCATGGCGAGAGAGAGGAGTTTAGTTTTATTTAGTTGCATATGGCCATCATTTGCATTCCTAATGGGAAAACTCCATTGTGTTTATATACCACATTTTCTGTATCCATTCATCTCTTCCCAGATTCTGGACTGATCCCATAACTTGGCTGTGTGAACTGCTCTGCTCTAGCAACATTGCTGTATCTATACAGTATGTTTATTTCAGTTCTTTTGGGTAAATACTAAGGAGTGGGGCAGCTGGGGCACATGGTGGCTCCATTCCTAGGCTTTTGAGGAGACTTCATGGTGCTTTCCAGAGTGGTTGTACTTAATTAATTCATTAATATTAATACACTAATACCTTTAAGATGTTATAGTTTATTGGAGTATCAATAAACCAGAAGTCTAAATAACTAGCCTTTCAATGGCTGTACCTTTTTTTCTCGTCCACATATAGACAACTCTTGCAAATCAGGCAGACCTAGGGCAGGGCTGTCATGAGACTGTGTTTTCACCTCTCAGGCAGCTCAGCTTTCTGGTGTAGAAGTCAAATATTTGATTTCTAATCCTTTTGGGCTTCATAGAGACATTTGCTATTAGTCTAATATTAGGGACCCATACATGGCAGAACCATGACATTGCCAGTAGCATATCTAACTGTATTTGGTCCCTGAATTCTTAATATAGCCAGCCTTCAATCTAACATCCAAAATGAGGTTCACGAATAATATGGAATTCCAGATAGGTGACTTTTTTTTTTTTTAACAAACAAAACAGAGTCTTTTTAGTGGATGCCTCATATCCATATGATGTGGGGTGCTTTAGTGTAGCAGTAGTATTCTAAAGGCACAGTTTTTTGTTGGGTTTGGCTCTTAGCAGGTCATCCACATATTGTAAAAGGATTTCTTTATTCAGCTGAACCCACACAGCTAACACTTTTGTTAGACACTCATTCAACAAAATAGAAGAGATTTTAAATCCTTGAGATAAGACAGTCTGGCAATACTAGATGGTTTACATTTGTATTGAAGTCTTGTCACTCAAAAGCAAACCATAATTAGGAATTCCTTTTCAGTGGGATGCAAAAGAATTCATCTTTTAAATGTATCACTTTAACCAACCATAGTTACCTGACATTTTAATTAGTAGGATATACAAATTATGTCCTGTGTCTGAATATCCTAAACAATGTTAGTTATGGCTCTTAGGCTCATAGCTATTGTTATACAAATTAGTATGAACCAGTGGGAGGTTTTTTTTGTTTTTTGTTTTGTTTTGTTTTTTAAACAAACAGGGCTGGAGTATTTATTGCAGGGTATTTTTTTGCAAAACCAATTCATCCATGTTTTAAGAACTTGTCCACAAGGGGCTGAATTGCTACCAGTACTTCTCTTAAGGGAGTACTGTTTTTTCCTGGGCAGGTGACCTCCTCCTTAAACATTGATAGATGACATTGAATGATGACATTGATAGTCCTCCTCATTGTCCCTTTGACCCACGCAGCCTTATTCACTTTTTAGCTGACCTCCAGCAGAGCAAGCTGTTTTTTCCCCTGTGTGGCCAGTGGAGACTGGATCAGGACATGTTCTGGTGGCATTTGCAAGTGGAGTCATGGCTTTTTGGGTGAGAAGGTCTTCTGAATACTTCATTTACACAGCAGATCTCATCCAGGAGCTGCATTGGACAACCTGGCATGTACAAATCTCTGCCTTAGTCTTCATTTCCCTGGTTGCATTCTAGGGGTTGGAGCACAGGATGTGAATGAGCCTGACTAGACACTGTTTTGATTATCACAATGTTGTCAACTTCAGGTCATTCCCACTGTCAGTTGTACCCAGAGACTCCTGCTGGGCCTCTTCTCACTCTAGACTATTTTTAATGGAGGGAGGCCCTTCCATGCTTTTCTTTATGCTTCCTGGGTGACCTGTTTGTGGCAGCTACCAACACAACCTGAACTGGCTTTAGTTTCTGTTCTTCACAGTCATTACCTTCAAGACAACATCAACTAGTGGTGAAGGGTTAATGAAAGTTTGCCCCCACTGACCATTGAAGACTTTCCTCCATGGCCAGGGTGTTCTGTCCAATGAAGATCACAAGGACCAGATAGATATATTTTTTTTTTTTTGTACCAGGGATTGAACCCATGTTCCCTTAATGACCCAGCCACATTCCCAGTCCATTTAATGTTTTGTTTTGATACAGGGTTTCCATAAATTGTTTAGAGCCATGTTAAGTTACTCACAGCCTCACTAAGTTTCTGAGGCTGACCTCAAACATGCAATCTTCTTTCCTTAGCCTCCCATGTTTCTCTCATTACAAGTGTTCACAACCGCACCTAGTCATACAGAGGTTTTTAGTGGCCTCCTTCTGCAGAACCCAGCATGGCCATGAAAGAGGTGCCTGCATACATGAGGACTCTAGGAGGCCATTGTACCTGCTGAGCTCTGTGGGTACAAGGCAGGACTCCATTCAGAACCATGTGTTTTTAGGCAAAATGTCAGATATTCAGGGCAAACAAGCTAGGGGGGCTTGTACTGTAGGCCCTTCCTCTCCTCAGCTACCATTGCCTGAGTGACAGGACCTGGGAGGTTGGACCTGGCTCTGAGTCCAGACATGTGGCTCCTATTTATCTCCACATGGGCATGAGCCCTGCTGCGGGTGGTGCAGCTGCAGTGCAGCCTGGGGAGCCAGGGCCTTTGGCCTTTTTGGTTAGAAGTTAGCTCTTGCTTTTGTCCAGAGCCTGTGAGGTTGCAGTTTTCTCTCTACTCTGGACATTTGCTTTTATCCACAGCTGTTTTTCCTTTCTGCAGTTGTTTATCCTTACTCTTTTTGACAAGTGTACATGAGAAAGTTGGTATAACTTTTTTAAAAAAAAAAATTTATTAGTTATAGGTGGAAACAATACCTTTATTTATTTATTAATGTGTTGCTGAGAATTGAACCCAGTACCTCACACTTGCTAGGCAAGTGCTCTACCACTGAGCCAGAACCCCAGCCCAGTATAAAATCCTGAACCATCTCTCACACAGTATCCCTGGCTTCCTGAACAGAAGTGGGACTTCTGATTCCCTGTGTTTCTTTCTGTGGCCATCCACCATGGAATTGGAAGCAGCTAAGAGAGCCCTGAGCAGAGTTGAGGTGATCTAGCTGCCATTGCTGTAGAATCTTCAAAACTGTTAGCAAAATAAACCACTTCTCATTATAAAGTTGGCTTGCCTTGAGTATTTTATACAAATGAAAATTGTTCTACTAGAGTAACATGCTATTGTGAACGAAAGTAGGAATATTTACCTTGTTTCCCTCCTTAATCATCTAAGATTTGAAAAAATATAAGTATTACTTCAGGGATATGCATTTATTCACATAAATCCAAAAGAATGTGTTTGTTCTCAAAGCTGGATACAATTTTGAAATCTTAGTTGTGTTACCAAGGTGTTCAATGATATGTAATATTTAAATTGTTTATAGGTTCTTTAAAGAAAATTAAACTGGTGCCTGTATGACTATCTAGCCAGAAGACGCCTTTAAAAAACAATCTGAGATTATTATGTGATCAATCACTATTCT